AAGAAGCACTGTCTCACTTCCACTAGGCCGTAAGCCCTAAGGGTCTTGTATTTGCATGTTTATTATTTATTTATTTTTGCCAAGTTGTCCTTCAAGGATCTGAAAGCTTGAGAGAACTGAGCCACTTAAATTGTTTCTTTCTCTGCCTGCTTAGAAAGACAGAGGCAAGCACGGGCACAACTGTACTGAAGCAAATACTCATCCATAAACTTATTCTAAAATGCAATTGGATGATCTTCTGTCTTTTTCTCGGTCCCATCTTCTAACCTTCCTCATCTTGAGAGTCCATCTCTATTATGTGTGGCTTTTCCAAATGTCCATGATTAATAACTGCTGTGATTCATTTAGCCTGTGTTGTTGGCAATGTTTCCCCAATGGGAGCATTTGCTATCTAGGGGTAGTCCATGATTGCTCTGCCTCCTGGAACAGTAAGATGCTTTCAATCTAATGTGCTGTCCCTGTTTTAGCATAAAATAATATTAAGGCATCCACATAATGGAACCGTCTGAAGATCCATTTTATTAAGCACTGGAAGAAAATGTGTGTGTGTTTGCATGTGCAAGGGAAGCATAATCAGCAAACCTATTTTGCCAGAAACGTCGTTTCCATGAGGGTTTCGTGTAAAGACACAGTTCTTTTTAGGTGTAGTTCCTTGGCTGTAAGCATGAAAAAATACTCCATAGCCAATATCTTACCTGGTGCAATTAACTTACTCAGATTATACACAGCCTATTCGAAGAAGGAAAAATGGGAAACAGAGGTAGGTTTATTGTACTTATTCCATTTTGAGGGTATTTATTTTAAATGCAATCTACCTTCAAGTACAGAGCTGTACTGCTCTTAAAAGATTGCTGCTTCAAGTTGCTCCACATACCTTAACATAGCATGGACCCTTTTTACATTATACGATCAACTTTTTGACAGTGCAGGGCCAGCGCAGCTAATGGAATAATAGCCTGCAGGGCCCAGCTAAATGATATACGAATATAATCAACCTTTGTGATGACTATTCAAAAGTAATCCCTTTAGCTTTCAACTGCAACATGTATTTCAACCAGGCAAAGCCATATGAAGAAAATCTCTGCAGACTCCACTGATACAATATGGCCTTCATATCCCCACAGTGTGTTTGCTGCTCACAGTGAGTTTTAAATTTAAGGTAATGGCTACTGTATATTCATGTGAGCATAGAACAATACCTTTGATTTGTTGGAGAAATGTTACATTAGCTACCAAGGGCCCTATTCAATAAACTTTGACACAACCCTTATATATGGTTTACTGCTTATTCTAAATGGAATATGCCTGATAGAAATGGTTTGCATGCCCAAATTGTACAAATTCATTAATCTTTATATTAATAAAACCTCTAAGTACAACTGCCTCCATTCCAAGTGATCCAAGTCAGGAAACATGGTTAAACAGGTATGTCCAACATGCTTCTAAAAGGCATTGCATCACTTTTCATCTATCAAGACAGAATATGTAGGAAGATCATCTTCAAGTATGGGATTAGCATGTTGTTGGCAGTCATATTAGTTTCTACTCTATCTCTATTCCTACACCATTGCATCATTCTTCAGATTACATAACTCAAAGCAGTTGTGTGACCTTTAAAAATTCAAGTAAATTTAAAAATATCATAATGGGCTCTATCTCATCAGCTGCGTATCACCAACATGGTAATAGAGTCAAAGTAGTCTTGCTTTCTCTCCCTTTTGTGGCAAAAAAATGCAGTATTGGCTGATGGTGGATCTGAATACATGGAAGTAATTCTGTTAAAGGAAAAAAAGTGTAACGAAAATGCCGTGTTGCTTTTTATTACTACTTCAGTATGTACACTATAGTCAGTCTCATCAGCAGGAGTTGCAAATAGGGCCTTGTTTGTGTACAGGCACGTGAATCCATGTGAGAACATAACAGCATGTTACCTGTTACCATATCTCGTTTGAGGTGATGTGTTGGAGGATTCTGCTTAAGCAGGTGAGCTGTAGTGGAGGAGTAGGAGAGCCTGTGGGCTTTTCCTCTATTTGTTTGCTGTGGCACTTCTTGAGCCCACAGGAAACTGCTGCATCCTCAGCATCCTGCAGCAGGGGGTTCCAGTGATGAGGTGGCAGTGCACAATGACGCCTTTGCTTTGTATACAAGCCCACCACCTCCCACTTGCAGTAGACCCTACCTCATTTTTTTTATTTTGAAAACACAGTGAAAAATGGTTTCTGGGTCACCTCATGCTTGCTATGCTCACTCTTACTTTTGTCATATTTTCAAAAAAAATTTTTTTTTTTCAAACTAGTTTCAGCTGAAAATATATACCTGAAACAATAATCCTCTTATGACTTCACCACCTCATGGAGCTTTCAGTAGAATTCTTGTTTAATAAAGTCCAACAGTCTTTGAATAATGCAAATTTTGGATTTGAATGGATTCCCATTACATGGGCATGCAGTCTCGGGTCTTGTCTGTTTCATTTTCTTTATAATCTTTTGAGAGAATGGCGCCTAAAATTCCTATCCTCTCTGGAGTTAGTTGTAGCTTCAGTCTTTGTGAGTGTGGCCTTCTTTCTTTTGTATGGCTTTTCATTAATCATATAATGTAAAGGAGTTGCAGCTCTGCATTTTTTTCTCCAAAAACATCATGAAATAATGAGAGTTTTAGAAATGTAACATTCTGTAGATAGGCACATAGAATCATAAGGAACAGAAATGCCAATTCTAGCTGCATTCTAGCTGAAAATCTGACCAGACAATTTTAATTCTATTTTATCAACAGCAGTGGTAATCTGTCAGGGACATCCTATTATGATTAATTATATTTACATTCTAATAATACATATTAATGTTATCTCCACATTTTGTACAATAAGATGGAAGGAGAATGCTTGATGGTGTGATCTGTGGTGTTATATATGTATTATCATTATGAATATGAGATGCTTTTATTGTTTCCAAATAGCATAGGCCAAAGAAATGCCAAGAAAACATTTATGGCTCAGTATTCCATCAGTTATCCTTGATATGCTTAATATGTGCTGGGAGGGCAGAGCTGTTAATCAGCCAATAATAGCTTGGTGCCCAAGTGTGAAGGCAAAAGGCTGAAAGGTGCATGAGAAAAGCAATTTCTGCTGTAACTCCCCATCTGTCATGTGCACATCGCCACTGTCTCTTGCACCATCTCTTGCACTGTCTCTGACAGTCTGTAGCTGTCAGAGACACACTTTTCTGTGTGTTTGCCTGGAAACACAGATGTTGCTGTACCCAGCCACATTTTGGGCTTGAGTCACCCACTTTGCGCCACTTTTCCACCAAAGTGCATCCACTGGAAAGAGCAGTAACACTGCACTGGTGTGAAGCAGGGGTGGGAGAGTGCAGTTCTGAGCCCTGTGAGCACTTCTGGACTGCCTGGGGCTCTGGGCTGCTTGCCACTGGCTGAGTTTCTAAACCAAACGAGCTGTGCATGTTTTATTAGATTTTTTTCATTTAACACTTGGTCTACTAGGAAAGGAATTCCCATTCATTTACTTTAAGCCTGGTTTCAGAATGTGTTACCTGGAATAACCATATTGTTAAATACATTGTGAACCACTAACACACGCACTGCCCTCATACAAAATGAGATTCCATATGGGAATGCTAATTCTCAGATATTCTTCACAGATTTACTTCTCCTTTTCTTAATTGTATACAATTATGGATAAAGTCCTTGTTAGCAACTATACTTAATAAAAGCCTGTGAATTGGCAAAACATAAATTTTATTGAGTCATGAGTGGTCCAGTAGTTTTAATCTGTTCCAGGCATTGCACCAGCAAAGACACTGCTTCGAACATTATTTTTAACCCCCACCAGAACTGGATAATTCATTTTGGCCATGAGTTAAATTATGATGCCAAACAAACACTGTTGGTATCACTGTGACTGGAAGCTAAAGTTCAGTTTTAGGCATCACAATGCAAAGAGGTAGTGACAAACTGAGGAGGATACAGTTAAGAAAACATGAATTCGTTTCAAATATTGAAGAGACTCTGTTTGCTTAGCCTCCAAAAGAGAAGATTAGAGAAAGAAAAATAGTCTCTCAAGCTATAAGGAGTTATTCTGAAAGAGGGCTGTTCCATTGCTCTTTGTATCTGCAAAAGGTAGAACAAGAGAAAAATCAGTTTAATTTGCAATAAATATTTATCTTAAGTATTAGGGAAGAAATGGAGCAATAAGGCTGTGAAGCACTGAAACAGAGAGATATGGATATTGTGAAACAGCCTTCATCAGAAGCCTTGGAGAATAGATGTCAAGGGTGGACTAGATATATATGTGCACTTTCTTCATTTGAGAAGATGAAGCAGATCAGTGGTTCCCAAAATAAGGAACAATGCCCTAGGGATGTTGTAGGTGGAATGAGGCAGAGGGAGGTGTGTTGCTGTAGAGTCCCTGGGAACGGAGCAGAAAGTGCATCCAGGAGGTGAGAGTTTGGTGTGGAAATTGAGCGAGGAAGGAATGAGACACCATAACTGGAGCAAATGAACTCTGTGGCTGTCAAGAACTGCAGAGTCAAGCCATGGCCTCCCAGCCACCTGTTCCCTGATTACATCCCATGAGGAAGACCCCACTGAGCAGTCACAGCCTCCTCTTGCTTCCTGCACTGCTCAGTTCCTCCACTGCATGATGTTCTCCTGCCTGCCATCTTTCAGTGCTGTCTTGGCCATCATCTTCTCCCAAATGTATCTCCCTTGTTGGCTCCTCAGCTAGTCCCACCCAGACCTGTCCTGTTGGAGAACTGCTCCACAGGAGTGCAAGAAATGAGACCAGAAACCCCTGTCAGTTCTGTGTTTCTAGGATTATATCTTACATGACTCACCTCTGTATTTTTTAGATTTCCTTTTCTTGTGACTTATTTCTGTAGGTCCTATTTTTCAATTGAGCCATATAGGCCTTTTAACCATTAAAATTGTTGTAAGTCTAAAACATTCATGCACTTTTTTTTTTTTTTTTTTTTTTTTGATAACAGAACCTGGTAAAGAAACAAGTGCCTCAAAGTCTCTGTGAGCCTCTGTCCAAGACACCAGTTCAAGATCTTCCTGGTACAGTATTTGCTCTTAATCCACAGACTTTATGCCAATCTGCTGATTTTTACAAAATGTCATTGCCATCAATACTTAACCTGATTTTGACAGGCAATTACACACCATCTCTGTATTACTATGTCTAAATAATTATATTTTTCCTGCTCATAAATGAATGAATTCACACTTCCCTCCATTTCTTTACACATATTCCCAGTTTTAGAATGTAATTGCCTTTGATCGTGTAATTACTTTTAATTTACAGAAATAAACCTTTGTGACAGAAATAAATCTGATTAATTAGATGCCAACCCCAAATATAAAACATGTAGATATCAATGTATACACATAAACTTCTGACATTTTTGTATTTTTCTTTGTGCTGTTTTTTATTCTAGAGGATGCCTGTTTATTGACAGAGAAGCTGATGTATAATGAGTACAGGAAAATCCTTGAAGAGTGGTGCAGCAAAGTAGGAATTTCAGCAAAGGTTTTGTCATTAAAATGCTATTGTCAAAAAAAGCATCTGTAATTTAAATAATTTTTTTACTGACACCTGTAGTCTTCACAGTCCTCAGAGGACTCAAGAGTCCTCAGAGCCTGCTGCTATTGGTGTTGGCATTAGGAAGAGTTAGAGGACAGAAGATGGAAATTATCACTTTGCAAAATACACATAAAAACAGAATTTGTAACCTTTGAATTTTATTTAGAAAAGTTGGTGATTCATAATTTCACATATTAGAAAACCCCTTCTTTTAAACTAAACAAAGAAAGCTTTATCACTCCCAACAGCCAACCATTCCTTTCTCTTAATGGAGGTTTCCAGTCTCAGAGTTTGTAGCGAGGTCCATTAGACCTATAATCAGGTTTTATGATGGTGTTTGAGCAAGCATTAGCTTTTGCCATAGTAATAACTCAATTCACAATTTTCTTCAGGATTGTAATCTGAGTATGTGGTTGACATGTGACAATAGGGTTTCTCCCTGTTAAAGAATAGTAAAAATGTATCATTAACCAGCTCTTATTAGACTATTTTTGATCCAAAATGCTGTATACATGCAATCTAAATACAAATAGCTAAATAATTTTATTCTTTTGTTTCTAGGTCTTTATTGTCTGAACACCATGCTTATTATAACAATGTTAATTTAGAAGGCTTTTGCAAGGCTGAAAAGTTGTATAGAAATATTCCCACATGCAATTGTGCACACACATAGGCAACAAATCTCCTTGCTCAGTCTTAAAATGAGGTAAACATTTTATGGAAACCAGAAAGATTAACAGGACTACGAATTAAATATAAACATCTGTATTGTTTACCCCTTAAGTTTCCCCCTTATATTTTAATAGTATTGATTTGAAATAAGAAAAACATTCTAAAACCAGCACATTTTTTCAAATAATATCTTAAAATCCTGTTAATCTACAAGCTCTTCTAATCTTTGTAAGTATAGCATGACTGCTAATTTTAGATATTTGGAATTTCTTTTATCAAAATATTGTCCAAAGAAATTACATAATTGAATTTGGCCTTCACAGTAAGAATAAATAAGTATATAAAATAATGCAAATTGTGACAATATTCTAGAAAATACACCAATTTATCAAGGGCAAGTTTCTAAATTCTTAATGGCTTTTAATCCCATGTACATTTCTGCAGGAACTGAACATTCTGGTTTTGTGTCTCAAAAGTTGTTGTGTAGTTATGTTAAATAGCATCTGTGATTTTCGCTATTTTTTGCCAATCTGTACTCGTTACTACATGATAACTCTGATATGCTTGTGAAAAATGGTCATGAATTAATCCCCTAGAGCATTAACTCTCCCATACTTTTTGATACTTCATCATGCAGCTTTTAATAAAAATAAGGAGAAATTTATCATCCTATAGCAATCTGAGTTCTGTTCTTGAAAGTCAGGAAGCTTTAAGAGCAAATTGTGTTTATTGTGCTACATATACCTTTCTCCCATCCCAGGAACAATTTGTCTGATGAGTGACTCTCAGTCTGGCAGAATGCAGGTGTTGTTCAGCCCCTTGCAGACTTTTTCAGTGGGAAAACAAAGGCTCTTCCCCCTTCAAATTAATGGGGCCAGGAGTTTAGGCAGGACATTTTTCCCTACGTCATTGTTTGGACGGGATCCTGGAATAAAGCTCTCAGCTGCTGGGAGCAGTCAGAGCTGCACAGGTCACGGCAGCCTGGTGAACACCTCACACACCCCAGCTGAAAGCACAGTGCTCACTGTACTTGGCTGAAGTATCCACTCAGTGCTGCTGCAGAAGAAAAGTTACCACTCTGAATTAGCAGTGCTCTACAGCATCACCTCCCTTTGCTGATCTCTCATCAGACACAGTCTTGCTCGTAAGATCTGCAGAGACCAGAGCTCACATTGTCTCTTTCCATGAGAGGTGTTTTAATTAATTTAAGAAGCTCCTCTTATGGAACACAGTTATTCTCCACCTTCACTCCTTCTTTATCATTCCTCCAGGTTTTCCCAGAAAGCACCTGATTCCCTGACCCTTAATTTGCAATCAGGGAGGAGGACTCATGAGAGAGTATGGATTGCAGTTTACAACTTTTACTGTGCTCTCAGAAATCACAGGCAGAGTTGAATTTAGTTAGGAAAGCAAGCAGATCAATTTAGCCTGTAATGCCAGTCCATTTCAAACCAGAGACTTGTCAAACATATTATAGCAGATGAATATCTGAATAGCTCTGAAGTGTTATGTCTCTAAAATCTACATTTTGTGGGTACCTAGGATATGCTAGTCTGGCAATTAAGGTTGCTTTTTGAGTAGGGCTTTAGTAGGTTTCACTTTGTAGCAGAGAGGAAGGTTTTACCTAAGAAAGAATTGTGTTTGTAATTTTGAAAACCATGTTTTCCGATCATTAATAGGGTGTATCTTGTTAATTATGATGATGTATAAGGTATTTCACCTGTGATGCCGTTTAGAAAATTAATGTTTGAGTCACAGAAAGGTCATTGCCATTCTGGAAGGAATCCATTCATCTCTAAATAGGCCATCCGAATATAGACTAAGAAATACCCTATATATAATTACCTGGAAATAGATGGAATAAATAAGATTGATGATAGGTATTACTAAAGCCACATGTTAGTTTCCTGTTAGGAAAAAGTAGAATGCAACTAAAAGAAGCAATATTATACATGTAAAAAATGAATAAATATGTTAAAATCTTGAGTATTTCTGTGAGGTTCAGCTATTACTTATGAGGTAAGAATTCAGCCCTCAGAAGCAGTGTGCATCAAGGACTTTGTCCTGAGATTCACTCAGGTATTTCTGAAGACAGCTCTTACAAAGAAGATAATGAGGACTTTTTTCTTTTCTTTTTTTTTTTTTTTTTAACAAACCTGTGTCTTGTTTGACATCATAACTTCGTAATGCCTTCATAATTTGCCACACAAATGCTTACAAGTAGATGGAATGTATGTGCTGTCTTTGAAGATAAACATGTTAATGGGTTAGAGAGCTCCATGTGTGAGCCATCTTTTGACTCCTCAGGCCTGGAGTCCCCAGGAGCTGGGGGGGGACAAGTCTCAAGTAGTCCCAGCAACTTGGTCTCAAATAGTCTGCAACTTGGTCTCCTGCAGCATGAGAGACATGGGACAGAAAACCTGTGCACAGTAGGTTTTCTGTAGCCATGGATGAGCCAGAGGCTGGGAACTTGAGCATCCTAAGAGGAGTGTCTGGGAGTGGCAGTAGCTCCTGACTCCGACTCAGCTCTAAACCCAGCTAGGATTGAGATCTCCTACGGACCAGATGGACAGATGAGAGTAGCCCTTGTCTCTGGGAGGCAGCTTTTGTAACTGGCACATCCAGCCCCTCATTTGGGACATACTTATCCATACACAGAGGTAAATCAGCTTTGAAAAGCTGCTGCCTCCTGCACTGAGCTGTTCTATCCCTGGCAACACTGCTCCTGGTCTTCCTGGACTCTCAGAAAACATTGTCCCATCTGGCCACAAGTTCACAGTTTACAATTGTAGTGACTTAAATCTGGACTTAACCATAGCAATGCCTTTAAAAACATCTTCAAAGAGCCCTCCCTGAAGCCCAGTGGTCACTGCTGTTCTTTGCTGTTTGCTTTCATAAGGGCTGTCTGCCTCCCAGCTCCTCAGTGTCACTTGGCTGAGGAAATTGGACACTCTCTTTCCACACAAGTACCAGGAAAAAATATTCCTTGGCACTGATAGCTGCTTGCAGTACAGATTAAACCAAAATTTATTTAGGATAAGGGAAGTTCAGGATTACCTGCTTTCCCCCTCCTGGTTGCTTCTCTCTCACAGAAACCCCTTTAACTTTTACATTCTGAATTGCAATGAGCTTTCACATCTGCTGAGACTTGATATTCTCAGAGGTGCCCTGTGATATTAGAATATTTTGATTAATTAGGCCTTTGCTTTTACTTTGCCTCTACAAACCTCTGTTCTTGGAGGGCAACATCACCGACACATTTAGGCTCTGCACTGCTTTTGGCAGAAACATGAGCACCTGCTTGAAACTACATTTCCACACACACATACCAGGCCACCTTGGAGCAGGTGACGTTTAATCAGTATCCCTAGGTCACTCATATAAGTCATATTCTAGGGTTTTTATCTCCTTCTTCCTGACTAGAAAATTCAGGATTGTGGAACCTGCCTAGAAAATAACTTTATGAAACTATCTATGCCACAAAACTTCCTAGTCTATACAAAGTAAATTTAAAAAATGAAGCCATAAAGGCGAGGAAAGTAAAAGATTAAAAAAACTAAACTAATATATTTGCAAGAAGTATGCTTGCCTTAGTCACCCTCTCTGTTTCTCCTGAATCCCACGTCCCACTGTAGGGAGCTGGGGCGTTTCCATCAGTGAGGCAATGTGCTTTCCCTTGAAAGCTGCTGGGTTTAATCTCCCCATCAGATGCTGTGATTCATCTCTGCAGTCCCTGTTGTACATTTCTTAATATCAGACAAGAGTGAAATATCTTCAGGACTGTGAGACTGAAGTTAACTCTTTTTTCAAAGGAAAAAGGTGCTGGAAATATATAGTGGTCTTAATCAGCTGAAAGAGTCTGTGGAACCAAACCCAGACTCATGATCCTGTTATAGTGTTGACTACATGAGCCAGGAAGAGGCTATTGCACCTCTAAAATGGAGTGAGTTTGGTTCAGTCTAATCTCAGATGTAGGTCAGAGCTGTGTTCAAGGAAGACAAGAGGAGGCTCTTCTACTTTTTCCTCTGATTTCTGAGCCTTTGAAGACCACTCCAGGTGTCTGCTAAAGCTCCTTATTGTGACAACTCTGCTGTAACAGAAGGATAAGTCAGCTCTTGACTTCTGAAGCAAAGGTTTCAATGTCTACACAGGTATTGCAAGCTGAAGTAAAAGCCTGCATGTGATAGCCCCAAATTATGGGTCACCATATCTTTTCTGATCACTGTACTGGGGCCTTTTGAATTTCTACCTGGAAATGATCTTTAACACCACTGAAGGGCAAGTGTTCATAACTGCGCTATGAGCTGAAAAGGTTTGTTTCGTAGTTTGACGTGGTTCTGCCATCATAGCTGGTTTTTTGCCTCCCTACATGGTGATCACTCATCTGGGGTAAGTACTGTACATGTTTTGTCTGGTTTGCCATGGCCAGTCCTTGGTTAGGAGCTTGATCCTCTTTTTTCACCATTTTCCACATACAGGATTGCATCATTAAAAAGAAATAAATCTTTTTTCAGGTAGGTGGATATTCATAGCAGAACTAAGTCAGAATCTCACCCCCCACCTAAAAAGGCCTGGGTTGACACACAAATTACAGTAAATCTGATCTTTTTGACCCTACTGTATCCTTTCCCCATTTACTCTTTCTCCCCCACTTTTCCTTAGACCCATTGTTTTCTTTCTTCACCTTCATTCAAAGTCTCTCCTCTGTCTCCACAATTCCAATGCTTCACAGCCTTCCTTCATTTTATCCTTGCTGCTGAATGAAGACATGATACAGATGAGGAGTAAAAATGAGAAGCTCTTTCAAATTAAGCTTTGTTGCAAACATCTTACTGTAAAAATTCCATTACAGCCTCAAGAGAATCAAAGGTACTTAAGCCTAGATTGTCACTGATCTCTGGACACCAACCTGTTGCTAAATGCCTTCCAAACTCTGTCATTCCACAACTTGATAGGACCTCCCACAACTTCCTTTCAGACCTGTCTGTGGACTGGGCAGGCCTGTGTATTGTACAGGATCATCCACAACTGCTTCCCCATTAATTCCCTCTGTCTGGAAGCACCCTAATGTCTCCTTTATAAGGATTAGAATTATTTATAGCAATTTACAGGTGTGCTGTTTAAAGATAACTGTAAATCACCTCAGATGTTGTTCCATGATGAAATGCCTCTACATTGTTTAACAAATTGTCCCAACATGACTGAATGACACACAATAGAAAAACTTGCCACGGAAATGTTATATTGAAATGAACACATAAATACTGTGTATTAAGTTAAAATTTGTAATTGCAGTTTGTATTCTTCTGGCAGTTTTGTACTCCAGGAGGATTTTCAGCTTCAGAAAAGCAGGGTACTTCTAACCAGGGGGTGTCAGCAGGCAATACAATGACTTATATATGTGACACTGTCATGCAGCTGGCTTTGCAGAGGTGTTTGGCAGAAAAAATACCAGGTTGTACAGGTGCATCTTAGTTACAGCTCACTGCCTAGGGTGTAAGGTAGCAAGCAATGTTGTTTTACAGTATCAGAGTGATTCTGCCTCAGTAGAAAGAAGACTGAGGTATGATGAAATGCCAGCCAAAAATGCCTACAGGTACCTCAAAATAAAGAACTACACATGTTCTGAGATGTTGATTTATCGTATTTGCCCGTAATCTGAGCACACTGCTTT